AGCACTGGCGTGGACCATCCCGGGGCCTCCATCCACGAAGAAGGCAGACGCACCAGACTGAACAATACTCGGTCAAATTCTTCAGGACGCAATGCCACGTCATGCACTGGTTACCTCGCAACTTCGTCCAGCTTATGTATGGACAGCATAAGATTATTTTATTACATACACGTTACCTACAGGTGGAAAATACCTCAGCTACTGTCGCAATACAAAACAAAAAAATGGAACATTAAGATATTACTCCGCAAAAAAGTTAAATTACGTCCAACAGATGAGATGGTGGTTGGAAGGGAAGTTAAACAGGAGGGGAGGGACAAAGGAACTCACAACACAAACACCAATGAGGCCAGCTCTTAACCATGTCAACAAATGTATCCAGCCAAACGTGCTCATCGCCTTTCGGACCCCAACCAGGGAGCCGAGACGCTCTAACTGATACTAACTTCGAAGTAATGAGCTTCGGTCCTCTTGACCAAGTCCTCGCTTGACCATCACTCCTTTTCTTCCATTTGCACCCCCGAAGCGCAAACAATGCACGTCGCGGGAGTCGGTGCGCTGGCATGCGTAACACGTGGCCGAGCCATCGGAGCCTGGTGCGTGAAATAACGGTGCTGAGCGGTTCGTTTCCTTTTCCTGTGCCGTAAACAAGGCGTCGAACACGCTAGTTGCTCACGCGGTCTTCCCACCAGATGTGAGCTGAATTGCAAAGGCACCGGTGGTCGAACGTAACTAACCTCTTTATGTCCGCTGATCTAAGGGGCCAGGTTTCACAACTGTACAGCAGGGTCAAACGTACCGCTGCATTGTAAACTCTACCCTTCAAGGAGAGAGTGATGTCGCGTCTGCGCCATAGGTGGCAAAGAATAGCAAAGTGCTTCGTGTTTTTGCTATACGGTTTGTGACTTCGTCTTCAATTCCAACGGCGCAAATACAACTGCCCAAGTAGTTGAATTTTTAGACGACTTCTAGCTTATCCCCACCAAGGGTCAGTGCAGGAGGCGGTCCAGGTCAATCTTGCAGGAACGCTTTGCACTTTGAGGGTGCAAAGCAAAGCCCGAAACGGTTTCCAGACAATGCTTATCTGTCCAGAGCCGCTTAACACGTTTGTGAGGTATCACAGATGAGGACAATCTCGTCAGCATAATTCAAAACAAGAAGCCGTTCATCTGGGAGCAGCTTCACACCTTCTAGGCCGTCCTGTGAACGCGATTTCCATGACTTCGTCAATAGCGAAGTTAAAGACGAAAGGTGACAATGGGCATCCTTGTCTTACTCCGCTGGAATTTCTGAAGAGCGACGACAGCTTGTCGTAAGCCCCCACTCTGCCGGAGCCACACGCGCAAAGCGCTCGAATAATATTTGCACACTACTCGGACACACCTTTCCTGAGTAGACAGTCCCAAAAGGCACATCAATCCACCGAATCGAAGGCACTTTTGATGTCGAGCAACATGACAACGGTGGACCGTCAGTATATGTGAGGGTGCTCCAACAACTGACGTAACGTGAATAGACGGTCGATGCATCCCCGACCATGACGAAACAGGGCTTGCTCCTAACGAATCTGACTCTCACGATTGGCAGTCAGTCTGTGAAGGATTACAGAGGCAAGTAATTTGGGGGCGATGGGGATCAGAGTGATACGCATATGGTTGCCGCATTCTAAACGCGAGCCTCCTTTGAAGATCAGGACAATAACGAAACGGCTTCAGTCGATTAGGACAGTTTCCTGCGCCCACAGTTTCACTAGTAACTCGTGTAACTCATCAACAAGAGCAGGGTCCCGAATTAGTAGAGGGCTGGATGGAGATCATTTGGTCCCGCCGCTTTACTCACCTTTCACAGTCCGAACTCACGTTCGACTTCTGAGCGAGAAAGCAGATCCAAAAGAACAGGCCAGGGAACAGGGCAATCATCGGCCGGTGAGGAATTTAACAATTCCAGCCAAGTAAATTGCTTTTCAAAATGCTCAGCCATACGGTCCAAGCGTTTTGTCAGATTGTGGATAGGCTGTCCACTCTCATCATAAATAGTTTCACTAACACCATGTATTCTGCTGCCCGTTTCGCGTACCAGACGGGATAACTCCCGTTGGTTATCCAGGGCAGCGGCCACTTCCATCTCCGAAGCAAAATGAGATCACCAGCCTTCGCGATCACTCTTCACGCTAGCATGGAGTTTTGCACTGATTGTGTTCGATTCCAGCCGGGAACAAGTCGGCGAGCATCCAGAGATTACGTAGAGACCCAATTTCCAGTTTGGCGAATTGATTTATCACATGAAGATATGCCTGCTGCTAATAAAGTCTGGCGGATATGCGACTTCAACTGTGTTCAGTGCATTCTTACTCAGCTCGGATACCAGTGAACTTCGATACACATTCATAACATATGACTTTGCAAGTGTGCTGGTGTCTATGCGCTAACAACGTTGTCGCGGGCCTGTGCCAAAAGGCACCCGAAGATCAGCACATACAACTGCATGGTCAGTGTCCACACATGCGCCCTCAATCGAGCGACAGTTTTGGACGCATCCTCACCAGCCATAAGTGTTCACGATGTGATCGAGTTGTGTGCATGGCTAGTTCGAGGCTGGTGTACGCCATGTCACCTTCCGGCGAGTGTCGGAAGTTAGTGTTCGCAAGACATAAACGAACAACTTCACACAAATGAAGTAACCACTCAATGTTATCATTACAGGAGCTTAGATGATTTTGGCCGCCCAGATGCAGCTCATCAGTGGTCAATTTTCAAACTTGAGCGTTCAGATCCTCCGCCGTACTTCTTCTGTGGCGAAGAAACTAATTCAGTCGGCGATAGAAGTTGTCTTTTACCGACTCATCGCTACAATATGTGGGGGTGTATGCAGCGATGACAAACAGACACGTATTAGTGACGGCATATAATGCACGCTGTGGAAGTCAGTCAACGGATATACGGAGGATATGATCAAAACGACGCAAGTGGTTGAGCTTGGACAAACATTCGAGTGAGATACCAGAAGGCTTCTTGCCAAGTTAACTGATTCGGTGATTCTCCACCAGACAAGCAATACTCCGAAACAACCATGATCAAACACGGCCAAGGGTTTGATCCCTTTGCTGTGAACTGGTCAGGTCTCTAATCCATACGGTAATACCGGCCATATCGCAGCGTTATACACCCTACCTATCACTGACAGGCTGATATTCCGTCACAGATGATTGAATCTCCGAAAAACCACACGGAATTGGCTAATACGCGGAGTAACTTCCTCAGTGATGCGACCGCCAGAGGTGACAGCTACCAAAGTAAGCGAACCGAATATATCTATCTATCGGTCTAATGATAGCTTAAACCGATGGAGTATCAGTCCAATCCTGCAATAACACTTTGCACTTTGAAGGTAAAAAGCACATGCCGAAGCGTGTAGCGCTAGGCGTTAGTCCATTTAGTAGTGTTTGCGTAGCCACTGCATCAAAAGCAAGGAGATTTATGTTATCAGCACACCAATCGATCACTTGGTAGAAATTAAACTCCGGTAGAGTCTGAAAGAACGAACTCATTATCATCATTTCGATCACAAAGCTGGAAAGGAGATAAAGAACAACCCGAATGAACCCTATTTGTGATGGTTACCAAAGGAGAAAGCTTCCCGTAGACTCCTATCCGGCTTCCCGAGTCACGGCAAAGACATCAGAATCAAAACGGGTATTCCAGGAACGCCCTACAGAAATAAACAGTGCCACGAATTGGCACGAAAAAGAGTCGAGGGTCAAGTGAAACAACCATAGTCGATCGACTGTGTCCCTGCTCTAACACCTGACGAACAGTAAGTATGTGGTCGATGCACTCACGAGGAGCATCGAGGATCATTGAAGAATGAATGAAAAGAAAACTAATACTTCGATGATTATCGCACAAAGTCAGTGGACCTTTTTCGAAGATGGGTACGACAGTCGACAGTCGCCGGTTTAAAGGCGCCTCTACAGTATCCTAACTAAGGTTGAATAGAGTCTAGTCCACAAAAAGTCACGCCCATCTTTCTGCAAATATAAAGGTTACTTGGTCCAGTAGAATTCTTTCGCTTCAACACAGCAGGCTCATATCGCATCATTTCTAAGATGGGAGGTGTGACAACAACTACCACGTCGGCTCAAGTAACTTGAAAAACAGAAGACTCAATAGGTTTGTTGAATTGCTTTTGAAAATGTTCTGCCCAACGGGCCAGTCGACGCGGATGAAAATGCACCAACTGCCCATCTTCTTAGCTACTGTCACACTTGATGGGAGGGTTGTGTCTACTGGCCGGTCCGTAGCCTAAAGGTAACGAGTTTGTAATCTGACGGCGCGGGTTCCAGCCTGCTTAGGGACAGGGCGAACCTCGCAGAATCCTTAGCCGACGAGCAGCCTGTGGTGGCTGCGCGTCAGCGAAGCGTCGGAACTGCGTACCGGCGAATTGCTGATGTCTTTGTATCTACTGCACCATCGAACAAATGTGTGAATAGAAGACCAGCAGATGACGTGGTCAAGAAATGAGGTCTCTCACTTCGAAGTTGGCCTCGGTTGAAGTCTCTGCACACCCTGATTGGGTCCGGAAGACGATTAACATATTTGGGTGGACACACCTGTCGAGATGGTGAAGCAATCACAATGAAATCTGTTTTTAGTTTTTATCCCTCTACTCCCGTTTAGCTTCCCCCTCCAACCATGCTGTTAATGAATAGTATGAAACGAGACATAGTAACATGTTTTGCTCTATTTTGCTTTGCTATTTTTCTTTTCCTTTTTACTGCTACCGGATTAAAGTGTATTGCGGCACAATAGCTGAGGTATTTCTCACCTCCAGCTAAGATGTAAAATGAATGAGCGAATGGCCGCTTAACTAGTATGTCGTTTATTGTCAAATAGATTTTTAACCGAATTCCATCTTGATTAAGAATACGTCATAAACGACCAGTAAAAAGAAAACGTGTAAACGAGGAGTTCGAAAAACCGATGAACGGGTAGTATAGTTACCTAAGAACATCAGCGGGAAATCACGAAAGAGCGCCAAAAGTGAACTGCGAATGCTGAAGTGATCTCCAACAATTCGGTCGCGGGCATGGACAACGAGCTGGGAAAGTGAGCGATATAAGTCCTTGAGAAGAAAATAAAGGGTGGCGAACTAAGTAAAAACCTTTTTAAATGTCCTCTTCACATTGAATGTTCCTTTCAGAAAAAACGGCGATATTTTCCAAGTGTGGACTTCTCCTGAGATGCGTACAAGATTACGCATGGGAAGCATGCCTCACCGATAAAGTTAGAGCTGTCCACGCTAAACTCCGCGTGCCGACGTAGCTGAGCGAGTTGGAGACCATTCAATGGCTTTAGGTTACCGAATGCATCTCTCGACAAAAGCTCACATTCATTAAAGTCAGGAGCACTGAAGAAGCTTCTGATGGGAAGATTCTAAGTCAACACGTTGCCCGGTTACACAAAACGACTACTTACGGACACGTCAATGATGCTTTCCGGCAATTCAATCGGAAATTCGCCCCACAAAAACAGGTTTTCGCCCGCTGCCTGCAGAGGTTACATGAAAACTCAAATTGGGTACTTGCCAGCTTCAGTTGGCTTATAGCTTGCTGGAATTCGACGGATACTTCATCAACAGTGGCGTTTAGAGGCAGGGGGATTCGCTACAGTGGTTACGATAATCGAAAAGGTACCTCTGGTTGTGGAACATCACAACGTTTCATCTCAGAATGGAAAGCAGTGGTTGTGTCAATCCCGAAAGTGAGCTCAATAAATCACGAATCCGCCACGTCAATCGTCAAAAATTCCCACAAAGAAAGGGGTGAGCATCGGCATAGTACGCCAGAGCATCTGCAGAAAAAGGAAATAGATGCACTAGTTTCGAGCACCCCTTAGCTGTGAATGAAGAAGTTACGGGCAACATAAAACTAGTTGTGGCGGGAGATATCAGTTTCAAATTAGTGCAGCATTGTGTAGCGAAAGTTGGAGGTAAGCAGTTAAAAGGGGCCTAATTAATAAGAACCGAGTAAAGACATCAGCAGTACGCCGGTACGCAGTATCGACGCTTCGCTGCCGCCCAAACACCACCGATCGCTTGTGGACTAAAGATACCGCGAGGATCGCCTGGTCTCCACGCAGTCTCAAACCCACGCCTACAAATTACAAGGCATATCTGTGATCCTTAAACATACGGGCACGTTAATACTCGATGAGCGATGCAATTACGCAACAACTCATTAATTAGGTAAACAGGTCGGCCTACCATTAGTAGAAATGTGGATCAGTTTAACAGAAAGGGTGCATGTATGTCCCTAGATTACAGGGATTCAGCTCAAAAGCAACCAGGATTGCACGCGTGTCGAGTCAGTATGAACAACCTATTCTTCGCGAAAAACAACTGCAGTTTGCAGTGGACGCGTAGTTCATTCATGTCAATAAAACAGAATGCATCTCAATGTAAAGTTAGTGTCTTTGATAATGATTGTAACTCTGTGTCTCAAAAACAGTGCCAAAGTCATTACCCAGTAAAATCCGACAACAGAAATTAACAACTTCCAGTGGTGCAACATCATCACCATCAATAAACGTTAGCCGAGGGTGGTAAAGACACCTCAGCTAATGTGTCGCAGTGCAAAGAAGTTAAGAGATTATATAATAAAGACTAAAAAGGCTATAATAAATAACATAATGCTAAATATGAAAATACGCATAGGATTTGAAATCGTTGTTGGAAGGCGAAACTAAAGAGGATGGGAGGGACAAAGAAAGTCAAAACACAAACGCCATTGAGGTCGGTTCCTCGTCATGTCAGCTAGTGTATTCAGCCAAAAGTGTTCACCGAACTTCGGTCCCCAGCATGGTAGTTGTAAAACACCAACCGACGTCAACTTCGAAGAGAGGGACTTCATTTCTTTTGACCAAGTCATCGTTTGGCCTTCTCTTCTTCCACCCATACCCCCGAAACGCAAACAACGCATGACGCGGGAGTCGATGTGCTGGCATGCGCAACACGACCTGGCCATCGGAGCCTGGTGCGTGATATAATGGTGCTGAGCTGTTCACTAGCAATTTCTGCAGCGAATATGCGACGCCGAACAAGCCCATTGTTTAGGCAATGCCTACTAGAAATAAGCGAAGCTGCGAAGACAGCGATGGTCGAACGTAACTAGCCTCTTTATGTCTGTCAACTTGATGGGCCAGGTTCCGTAACCGTACAGGAGAGTTGAAGGGACAGGTACATTGTAAACTCTGACCCTCGGGGCAAGATTAATGTCACGTCTGCGACACAGGTGGCGGAGATAGACAAAAGCGAGAGGTGCTTTTGCAAATCTTATGACGTTTACATATTTCTCGAGTACACTTTTACTTAGCAGACAATTCCAAAAAGCACATCGATCCACCGAACCAAAGGTATATCGGTGTCCAGGAACTCAACTACGGTGGGTCGCTAATAAACATGGCGGTGCACCAGTAACTGGCGTAAAGTGAAGATGTGGCCAATGCAAACTCGATGTCGACGAAACCCGACCTGGTCCTTGCGCATCTGGCTTGCACGGATGAAGTCAGTCTATGGATGGCGACAGAGACAAGTAACTTAGAGGCAATGAAAATCCCAATGGCGTACCACAAATGAAAGATACAAAAGGAGCCAAGGGGATTGATACCCCTAAGCTGACTCAATGGTGCAACGTGCAATGCTCCTAGTGGGAGCAGGTAAGGTCCAGTGCATCAGGACCGAACACACTGAGAACGAGAGAGGTGCACGTTAACAGTGTGTATTGAATCGGGATTCACGATTCCTCCGCGTCCCTCACAACAGACCGATGAGGCTGAAAAGTGAGGTAAATACTTCGCAGGTGGCTGGCTGGCAATATGACAACCACTTTAGAGGGTCGCTTGTACCGGGATTCGAGAAGACAGATCGAGTTGCAGGGAAACTTTTATTGGTACAGTAAAAGATTCCGTTACCTAGCTATAAAGGAACGACACCGTGGACGCTCTAGCTAGGGGAACGGAGCAAGCACAGCACACAGCGGAGTCGCAAGTTGCAACCGAAGCGAGCGCCAAGCGAAAAATGGCGATGAGCAAGCCAAGCATTCGAACTCAGCAATCCGTTCAACAAACCACACCGGTTGTCTAGGTGTACAAGTAAAGAATTTTGGTTAGAATTTTACACAGGCAAACCGGGGAATCTCCAGACTGCTACACCACCAATAAGATACCGAGCTAGATGGAAGAGTTGGTCAAACGGCGTCGTAAATGAGAAAGGCGGAGAAAATGAAGAGAGGACAACAATAACCATCTAAACAGGACGCAGATAAAGGGGTGCGTTCTTCTTGCAGCACAATAGCTAGTGTGCTGCTCACTTTCAACTAATGTGCTATACTGATTCTGAGGCGATTCTACTTGCAATCCGCTGATTTCCATGGTTTTCTCTGTCTATTAATTAGACTGTTGATAATATACTGAACTGAGGAACTCTAACCGCACTGACAGCGGCAGGCGTGTAAAACACGGATATTCACCATTCGATGTACGTTCTGGTGACTGTTTCGGCTGTAACATCCCGTAGTGGCAATGCGTGAGACCAACGCGTGAACCAATCAACCCTTGTCAGCACAGGTAAAATCGTTGGATGGAGGTAACGGTCCAATGAGGTCGATATGGAAGTGTTTGAAGCGAGTATCGGGCAGTGAGAAAGTGCCGGGGACGGTAATGGTGTGGGGGCCGGATTTTCCTATTCTGATAAGTGATAGTGTTTCGCCCACAATCGGATATCCGAGCGCATGTTTTGCCAGACGAAACGATCTGTTAAGAGCATCGTAGTAGCGCGTATGCTCGGGTGTGAAATACCATGCAAGTGATCAAATACAATTCGTCGATATTGCTGCGAGACGAAAGGTCGAGGTTTGACAATGGACATATCACATCAAATTTTGGAATCCGGGTTGACAAGAGGCAGGAGAGATAGTGTGATAGATGAATTCAACCTCAGCTGCTAGAACTCGGGATCTTCTTGTTGACGAGCGGCGATGTCTCCAAGGTTACCTGACTGACGTGAAACTCGGTGAAGAGCAAAACGGGACATCGCGTCGGCGACGTTACTGGTTGCATTAACAGGTCGAATATCAGTAGTGAACTGTGATATATAATCGAAATGACGAGTTTCGCGGGGTGAAAAACGGTCAGATGATCCGCAAGAAGCAAAAGTGGGCGGTTTGTGATCAATAAGAATGATAAACAAACGTTCTTCGAGCAGATGTCGGAAATGTTTGATGGCCAGATAAATAGCAAAAGTTCGCGGCCGAAAGTACTATATCTTGTTGGGGCGGGTTGTACCTTGAGTTAAAAGGACAAAGGCACGGGCTCAGCTTGTATTACTTGTGGTAGTACAGCCCCAACGCCAGTCTACGACACGTCGGTTTTGAGAACCAGGGGAGCGTCGACCCCAGTTAGCACGAGTGATCGAAGCACGTCTGTTGGGTGACCGAAAATGCACCGCGCGGGACAATTTTCGACAAGCGACCGGTCATTCAAGAAAAAAATTAGGCAGCATAACCTCGCTTACTCTTATGAGTTTGCTCAAATTTCCCCTAGTTAACGCGTCACAATCCCCTTTTCCCATGCTAAATGCCGTCACGCTAGGCAATGTAGTGTACTCATTTTTCAGCAAAATATTGGTCACTCAGGAAAAGAATTGGCAGCACAACTCCTCTCGCTCTTATACATTTTCCCAAATTTCCCTCTGAGTTAACGCATCACCGTACTCTTTTCCCCTGCTAAATGCCGACACACTTGGTGATTTACTGTACTCATTTGCGCGCAGAATACAAGTTTTGAACATAAAGAATATTACAGATTTACAGACTGGTTTGTCTCCTTTGCTTACTGCGATCGCGTTTTCACTCGTCGGATCCATTGCTGAACTCCTTGCATCCAGCATAACTGTAGCGCGAAGTGGAACCTGTGAGTAGAATTATTCTATATGCACAGCTTACTGATAACCATGTGAGAAATGGCATAAAGAGTAGGCAAATCAACTCAACAAGACTGTTGGCGAAAGAGGTCATCATGTGATGCTGAAAACATTCCGCAAGATTTTAACCGCAAACTAGAGCAATGAACGCCACATAACACATGCATTACAACAAATGATGTACTACCTAGCATTTTGCTCATGAAGCACCTTTATCACCCTCCTTGCAAAAAAGCCCCATTATATCGCGATGATCGTGCGCTATATATTCGGTACGAAACCAGACGGTCAACCAAAAGCAAAGGATAGAACACACAATAGTGAGCTAGGGAAAAAGTTTATTGGACGGGAGGACAGTCAGCTAATGCTAAAAATAGGGCACCAGAAGAGAGCTAGCTAAGGAGAATGCAGTTGGCGTCGACAGCGTACATTGGAACATTGTATTTAATGGGAATAAAAGCTCAAGCTTTACCTGACCCATAGGGTAAAAATAGTTCGGGTCGGGTCTAATGAAAGGCCAAGCAACCTTATAGCGGGTTGGACTCACGTGTTAGCCGTATCTACGAGGCTGCTCCCTACCCAAGAACTGGAAGGAGGCTATTGTTTGTCCCATTGTTAAGAAAGCTGATAAGCACCTCCCTGATAATTATAGACCGGTCAGTTTAACGAGCGTGCTGGTCAAGTTATTGAAGAAGCTCGTGATGGACGCTCTCGAAGGACATTTGAAAGCGTTTGAGTTGCTTAATC